TTATCAGGGCTAGGGCTTTGTTACCATCACAATCTTTGAGTGTTTCTCAAATTTCCTTTTCATCAAATGGTCTTTCAAGTTGAATAAAAGTTTAGGAACCAAGAGATTTCAAAGAACAATCAAATTCTACCATCCTCACGTCACTTTTCTAGCTGAAATGACATTCAAAAAAATTAATAGCAGTATTCAAAACAACAAGTAGAATAAAAAGTACCTCCCCTTTTAAAAACCATTTGAGAATAGATTTCTAGTGCCATGAATGTTCCTTCGCAGAGTAAAGTTTCTAGAGATCACATTTCAACTTCGAGATTTCACTTGAAATAGAAGAATCACTAGGGTTCTATTAAAGCTACATGGTTTTTCATGGATAATCCTTTCAAGACAAGCAATTTTATTTTGTATATTACCATAATTAGACTATTAACAAGGTTTAATTTATAGTTTCAGTGATTTAAGTTTTTCCCAAATATTTAGATTACTAGCAAAAACTTCATCAAAAGATTACTATTCCCGACCCATAAGATTTTAAAAGCTAGCATCCTCTAACCAAAAGTTAAAGAATTTGAAGGGACGAGGCCCTCAACCACTCATACCATTGCTGAGAGTAATGGGATTGTGGTCTAAAAGGGAAAAGAATAGGCATTGTTGGAATAAATCATGAGATCGATAGTGGAACGTAGGATCAAAAAGCAAGCAATTGATCCTACTAAAAGAAAAGACCTCTTTGTTATTACAACAAGTAAAAGACCCACCAGCCATAGGGATATCCACAAGACTAGCAACATTCACAAATTGCACAAATGAGTTTACAGCCCTAGCATTGCCCATCCAACCAAGTCTTTCATTCTAATAAAGCACCACATTGAAGTCTCCCTCAATACACTAGGAAACTTCAAGAGAAGAAAAAATATCAAGGAGTCAACATATTTTGCCTTAGTATTTCATCATTGGGTGCATAAATGTTTCCAAACCCCATTTTATGCTTATCCTTTGCCAGATAGCCAATTGTCAAAATAAAATTATGCTTAGTAAAAGATTGTTCACAAGTAAAGAAAGAATGATCCTGAGCTGTAATCAATGCACTAGAGGCACCATCTGATTCTTTAGAAACCCATTCAACATTATTTTGTCTTCATAAACTATTAATGAGTCTTCTATCTACAACTTTGAGCTTGGTTTCTTGAAGAGAAATCAAGCAGGGGTTAACAGAGGCAATTTGTCTCTTATTGCTCTTCTTTTCTCACCTTTGTTCGACCCTCTAACATTTCAAGAGAAGATAATCATTTAGAATCATCATGATCCAAAACCTGATCACGAGCGTTAATTTCATGCTTTGTCTCAGTAACTTCAATCTGATTAAAAACTAGATCAGCAATTTTCTGTTCAATCTCAATACCAATCAAAGCTTTAATAATTTGAAGGTCATCATCTGTAAATCGAATACCAAATTATTGGCAAGAGCAAAAGTGTCCTCAACATTTCTAACTAAAGAAGAGAAACAATCCCCAACCGTACAAAGATCAGTAGAAAAAGACCCTTTATCATTACTCAACATACCCTAAATGAAATTTTAAAATTTTTTTCTTTGTCTAATCGTCACACCTCTCTTGGGACATCCTCCATAAACCCCTAATTCTTTGGGTAATTGATATCCAATTTGCAACCATCATTAAGAACCCGTCGACTAGAATTACCAAGAACAACATGTCTATCATGCTTGTCATCCGAGATGAAAGACTGTTGAAATTCCCTTCCATAGGCAAAACAGACTTTTGTGAGGACACAAGCAAAGCACCAAAATGAGGGGAGCCATTCCCAACATAATCCTGAGCATCATTCCCATCAGAACTTTGAGATGGAAAGCCCTCCTTAAGAGCATCATTTTGTAAACTTGAATGCCGAAAAAGGCATCTTTGAACGTGTGTAAACTGTGAGGATAAGGGACATCTTTTTGAGGCACCAAATGGATATTATATTGGACAGTTCTCTCTTTGGACGAAGACTTAGAAGACTTAGGCCTTCAAAACGATGAGAAGACGACCCTCGAGGTGAATGCCCTTGCCACCTTCCAAAGCCCTACACTATTCTGCCTTACTTTGAAAACGAATTAAAGCATAAGTCGAGATCCATATTTTACCAGGATTAGCAATAAACACGTCCATCACACAATCGAAACAAGAGAAAACCCCTCTCAACTCATCCTGATACACTTTCAAACTAATATTACTAGCAAAAATGATGAACAAAGAGTTCCGCCATCTATTCAAAATGACAGAAATTCTGAGAGTCCAAGTCCTGTCGATGTGAACAGATCAATGATCAGAAGATGCTGATGGCACCACAGACCGTTTCGACTGCTCAACCCACTCCCTCTTCATTTCATTATTTTTTTTTAGTATGATTTATATATAGTCATTAATTAACGTGATTAATTTTGAATTTCATTTTTGTGCTTGTCTTTCTTCTTTTAATTGTCTCAATATTTTTTCTGAAAATCTAATACTTTCCTTTTTGTATATTTTAAAATTATTTTTCATGATTTTTTCTTTTTGAATTTCATAAAAGGCAAGGAGAAATTAATTAAAATAATGGGACAACGATAGTAAAATATATTAAACATGCAATATGCCTTTTTCTCATAGTGAATTTTCGCATTCACCTACGCATGGAGAGAGAGAGAGCAAAGGCGCGAACAAATTGTAGTTGGTACCATCATTAAGGCAAAGAGAAAGCAGGTAATCGGAGTTGACAGAGGAGACAAAGCAGAGTAAGTTGAGAAACAAAAGGCCTTTTTTACGAATTTCCTAACATGACAAGCAAAGGCTCAATTAATTGAATCACGTTTTACAGCTCTTTTAGTTGTTGCACGTCTTTTGCATTACACTCATTTTGGATTGCACCATCCTTTCCCCTTTGGGGTCCAACTCGTCTCGACCTCATTCTCTAACTTTTCCTATATAATCTTCCACGGAGAAACAAAAGAAAGTGCTTATTATTATTATTCAATGCACCTAAAGTAGAGAAGAACGTGATGATTGGAAGTCTTAGGAACAAAATTATTTTCCTTTTAGATTAAGTTTATCACTGGTTTAGTCATATGATTAAGGTCAAATGACTTCTCTAGTGGGGTCAAAATTTCAAAGATGCTACTTTTAATTTCATTTTATGATTTTATGACTTCCAAAAATCGTACAGTCACAAGGGTGATGTTGACTATTAATGTTGTAGATTTATAGCATGTTTGCTTGTATCAGTTTCGAGGGTAATGAGAACATGAGCAGAGACAAGGAACGAGTAATATGTGCGGAGCAGACAAGGAAGGAAAGCGAGACACGGACACAGAGACAGCTATCGGGCCCCTTTTTGACGTCTTCTT